CTACATAAAACACTTCCGGTTTACATAAGTTGAGTTTGTATCTTAACAAATAGCTTTGGTAAATATAATTGCGAGCTACCAAAGACTATTATGTGAGTTTTTGAAATAAAGTTGTTGAAAGTAAAGCTGAGCGCACAAAAAATACACCCTCTCAGTTTCATTGTCGTTGCTTTCATAGTGGCAAAGGGATGAGCTGTGGCCAAAATCATGCCCAAGCAAAAAAAAGAGAAATGAAAAAATTAAAATCCTTATCATAAGATAAGAGAAGATTTGATGAGTAAAAATGAGATGAAGGATGCTGTGTGTTTTGGTACCTTGAAGAGGCTTGTCAGGCTCTGGAAGGTTTTGAAACTGAAACAAAAAAGTTAGAGAAATAAATAAAAATGAAAAAGTTAAGTAAGTAAATAAATATCGTACTAACTGACCACTTCCACATTTCAGGGCCAATGGAAACACATAGTTCCGGGAATAACAACTATTGCGTCGATGTCAACTGTGTTTTTTTTATTCTTTTGCTTTGATACATGCAGGGTGTGGTCCAGTGATTGAAAATACACTCAGAGGTCCCGGATATCCTAACGATTACCCAAATAATACAGATTGTATTTCTTCGGTTCCTATTCCACAAGGCATGGTGATTAATATTACTATTAACCAACTTTACCTGGAGGATAGTATATCTTGCGAGTAAGTACTGATTTTTAACGTGTTATTAAGTTGTGAATGTAGGGAGAGGTCCAGCGACCTGCATTGCTTTCTCAAAAGAATGCAAAACCTGAATGTGCGGAAGTCTCATAGCAACAAGAACAAAAAATTCTGAAGCTAAATTACAGCTGTAAGTTAAAGGGCCCCAATCAGCCATACCTTTGTTTTTGTTTTTACAAGCGAGAGTTTGGCTATAGAGCGTTTTCAAATGACATCACAGCAGCCATACTGGTGTTCCAAAACAATGAAACGGCGGCCACGTTGGTGTACCAAACTAATCCTGTGGAATTGAACTCTTTTCTTATGTAAACACTTCCTTTTGTTTCAATACATTTGCATGGCTGCTAGCCACGTGAGTGAAAACGCTCTATTATATTTTATTCGGAGCATGTCGAAACGAAGGAAGTCACTGTGAAACTACTAAAGATATTTAAACATACCTTTAGGAACACAACTTACAGTGAAGCAATAAGATTTCGCTTCACTATGCAATATCAATAATTTCGATGGCATCGAAAATGGCGGAGGCTGACTTAAGATACCTCTTAGTAACCGAGTTCGAGGGCGGTACTGTAAGTTACGGACCGAGTTTCTCCAGAAGTAAAAAAAAAGTTTTAAACTTTTACTTGCTAAAAAAGTTACGAAAACTTGGCGATAAATCAGGAAACATTTTGGCCACCAAAACAGCTATAATTTCTAGCGTGCCGTACAGTAGAGTACGGCCCGCTAAATTCACCAATCACAGCACGCGTACTAACTGAGAGAAATAATAAGGTCCTTAAATATACATATTTCTTAATGTTTATCGTCATCAGTGTTACAATTCGTGTTCTAAATGGGACACGCACACAAGCATGGGATGAACGAAGTGTCTTTATTTAGGCAAAGGCCTCATAATATAATGTGTCACACGTGACTCACTTATCTCGAGACTACATCTTGTAACAACCCTTCTTTTTTGAAAGAAAAGCAACTGGGAATGGCTAATTCAAGCTTGGTTTACAGATCAGCAAGAAAGACCATAGCCTATTCTTATATAGAACCAATTCAAATCGATTCAGAGATTTGTTTGATATCGATTAGTGTTCACGTCAAGTCCTTTCCGAGGAAAATCAAGTAGTAATCAAATAAATCAAAGTCTGGTGACCTAATAAAATCAATATGAAAACGTCAGTTCGGGTTGTTTAATTGTCTGTCTAGTTTATTTGCAGACAAAGTCTGAGATAATCGGAGGGCCTCCTTGTACGTTGGGGTCTCACCGGTTGCGTGTTCACTGGTCCTGGTTGGGTAAGACTCGTCGCAACCGCTTTAGGTGGTTCGCCAGCTTGCTCTTGTTGCTTAGCCTCCTTAGGGACTGGTAAGCTAACAGCTGGCTCTCATGGTCTGATCTGTTCACCTGAGGGTATCACTCCCTCCTCCGCACTTTTGTTGTCATCACTGGATGCACTCTCCGCTCTTTCTGATGTTTTCTTAAGGTGAGATCTGGTTCTGCGGCAAACACCTCCGTCTGGCGTCTTTTAAGCTGTATGATCTTTCGTCCAGGTGAGCTGTGACAATTGCTTTCTTCCATACCTTGTCGCCTAATCGGAATGGCTTCATCCTAACGACGTCGCCTTCTGCTAGATCTCTGAGATCTCTGGCGCCTTGGTTGAAGTATCTAACCTGTTGCTTTTGCCGCTTCGCTAGGTTCGGCTGGTCTTTCTCCGGATACGTCATTCTTGGCTGGAGCAACGCCCTGGATGTTGGCAACACAGTCTTCGTGCGCCGGTTCATAAGCCTTTGTACCGGGCTTGAGTCCATCCCTTGGGTTGGTGTGTTACGATAGTCAAGGATCGCCATGTAGGGATAGTTGCCGCTGTCGAGCGCTTTAAGTAGAAGACTCTTTGCTGTCTTTACAGCTGACTCTGCTTGTCCGTTGGCTTTACTGTTGCCAGGGCTACTTGGGGTGTGCTCGAAGTCCGATGCTTCTGCGAACTTTCGGAACTCTTGGCAGTCAAACTGTGGCCCATCATCACTGACTACCTGGTCTGGACAACTGTATCTCGCGAAATGACTCTTCAGCTTGAGAATCACTGTACTTGCTAGGGTGTTGTTCAGTTTATCTATCTCCCTGTAGTTGCTGAAATAGTCGACTGTGATAAGGAACTCCTTATTGCCAAACGTGAAAAGGTCGACTCCGATCCTCTCCCGTGGTCTGGAAGGTATGTCTAGTGGCATCAGTGGCTGATGTGGTTGGGACTTCTCATATTTTCTTCAAGTCTCACATGCAGCTCTCATCTCTTTGACTTCAGTGTTTATGCCTGGCCAAAAGATGCATTCCCGTACGCGTCTGAGGCACAACTCAGCTCCGATGTGTGAGGAGTGAATCTTCTGTTTCATCTCTCCGTGTAAGGCTTTTGGTATGACGACTCTTTCACTTCTGAAAATGAGTCCGTCCTGCACTGAGAGCTCGTCTCGTACACTGTAGTAAGGCGTCACCTGCGCTGTTACTGCATTCCTTTCTGCCGGCCAACCTTGGAGGATCACGGACTTAAGGATCTGCATTATCTCATCCTTCTCTGTCTCGATTCGTATTTCCTGCAGCCGCTGATCTGAGATTGGTAGGAAACTCGCCATATTGACGTGCTCAAAGTCTGCTCCTGTTGGGTGCTCTGTGCTTGAAAGGTATGCGTGAGATAAGAAATCTGCAATATGCATCTCTGTTACCTTTTCGTAACGAACGTCCAGGTCGTACTTTTGAAGCCTCATAATCATTCCTTGTAGGCGTCTTGGTGCGCATGCGAGAGGCTTCTTGGGGATTGCCTCAAGAGGTTTGTGGTCACTGTAGACCGTAACGTGTCTTCCTAATGTAAACTGGTTAAATTTCTCCAGTGCGTAAACGATGGCTGTCATCTCCTTCTCTATCTGGGCGTATCGTATCTCGGTGTCGGTGAGGGCGCGGCTAGCGTACGCCACTGGTTTCTGACTCTGTAGGAGGGCCGCACCTAAACCCTTTTGGCTGGCATCACGCTGGATAGCTAGTGGGCTGGATGGGTCGTAATAACTCAAAGATTGGTGCTTCTGTGACCATCTTTTGGACCTCTTGAAAAGCCTTGTCTTGCTCTTCTGTCCAGCTCCACGGTTCATCTTTACGGGTGAGTCGTCGAATCGGCTCCATACTGTCCGCTAGTCTTGGTAAAAACTTTGACAGGTAGTTCACAAAGGCAATTAGCCGCTGAACACCTTCAATATCGGCAGGTCTCGGCATATCCATGATTGCTTTGGCCTTCTCTGGATCTATCTTGATGCCTTCATTGGTTAACACATGTCCCATGAATGTCATGCTCTTTGTTCGCAACTTTAGATTGTCTGGGTTAAGGGCTATGCCTTGTGACTGACATCTCTCTAGCAGCTTGATCAACTTCCGGTCATGGTCTGCATTGGCCTGTTCTTCTGTGTCTCCAACTCCGTATATCAAGACGTCATCCACTATGTCTAGCACGCCTTCTAAGCCGGCCAGAGCCTGATTCACACTTTTCTGGAATATTTCAGAGGACACAGATACTCCACATGGGAGCCTGCACCACCGGTACCTTCCAAAAGGTGTCGCAAACGTCATGAGTAGACTGGAGTCTTCATCCAGGACGCAATGCCACTAGCCCGACCGTAAGTCAACGGTTGAGAATACCTTGGCTTGTCCCAGTTCAGGCAAGATGTGCTCGAGGATAGGAAGCTGATAACGCTCCCGCTTAAGAGCTGCATTCAGCGGTCTAGGGTCTATGCAGATTCTGAGCGCTCCAGACTTCTTTATCGCCACAACCACGCTACTGACCCATGGAGTGGGTTTGTCTACTGGGGCGATTACTCCCAGGTCCTGGTCTGTCTACCTCTTTCTTGAACTTCTCTTTTAGTGCCATGGGAATTCTTCTTGTTGGTGTAATGACTGGTTGTACATTTGCGTCGATCTCAATCTTCACCATGCCTGGGAAACGTCCGAGCTGACTCTTGAAGACCATTGGTGATGAAGTTGTTGAAGTACCTCCTGTAGTAGTCATACTTGGGTCTTTAGACCGCTGCTACCATGTTACAATTCGTGTTCTAAATGGGACACGCACACAAGCATGGGATGAGCAAAGTGTCTTTATTTAGGCAAAGGCCTCATAATATAATGTGTCACACGTGACTCTCTTATCTCGAGACTACATCTTGTAACAATCATTATTTCTTAATGATCAAGTCTTGACAGAAACCGTGAGGAAAGATAGTGATTTAGGTTCTTAAGATCGGCAAACACTAGCGGACATGAAGCGGGGACATGTTGCAACGACATTTTTCCCAGTTTGAAAGTTTTGCTAGTGTGGAAAAGGGAGCAGAGTTGGCGCAGTGGTGAGAGCGCTCGCCTCCCACCATTGTGGCCCGGGTTCGATTCCAGCCCGGTGCCTTATGTGGGTTGAGTTTGTTGTTGGTTCTCCCCTTGCTCCAAGGGTTTTTCCCCAGGTTCTCCGGTTTTCCTCCCTCCACAAAAACCAATTCGACCAGGATAAAGAACCCGCATAGAAACCAGCTAATAAGGCTGATGGGGCTTTCTCTCGTAATATTGTAATTTATTTTTAACTTATTTATTTACGTTGCGGGGACAACGCAAAATGATGCATGAAATTCAGTTGTGTCGAATTCGTCGGTCATGAAGCAGGAACAAAATGACCCCAGTTCTAAATGCCGCATTGTGAGCACTGCTTTTGCACACTGTCCCAGCTAAAACAAAGAAATGAACCAATAACCTCTTCGTGTGCACCTGCTTGCTTACTGTCCCTTCAACATGGGTCCTATGCGTAGACACGAATGGGCTTGTCCCCGCTTCACTCTTAGAGCTTGCCGTACTCTGATTCTATTGAATGATAGAATACAAGTCACTCAACCAAACCACTTGCAATATTTGCATAAGAACACTAGTATAAATTTATTAATTATAGATGGTGCGATGCAACTTCAATGAGAATGAAGTGAGAAACTACAATGGCAGTCGGTTACACTTACCCACTCTTTAACTTAACTTAGCACATTATAAGAAGTCACGCAACTGTTATACACCCGACTGGGGCACATGATTATCAGCTAGGCATGCGCGATTCAAGCGGATTTCTAATCAGTATTTTCCAGGGTCGCTCGGTTCTCGAGTGCTGGTCAAGGGGAATGAAGAATTTGGGTTCCAGGTTGAAGTGACCCTTTGTTATAGAAAGTCACTTTTTAATTCATGTTTCATTTCTTTGTAGCCGAGATTATTTACAGATTACCAATGAGAAGAATCGGGTGTTTGGCAGATACTGTGGCCACATGGCTGGAAAGACAGTTTTTGCATCTGGACAATACGCCTTGATAGAATTCCACTCAGACAGCAAAAGTCAAAACAGAGGATTTCTGATGAGTTTTTCAGCTGTTGTGCCACCCTGTAAGAAATGAAAATTGAATGAAGTTTATGCCTTTATAAGTGTCATAACTTTAAATCGTGTTAAGACCATGCTAACTATGTTAAAACACAGAAGATAGATATTTCTTAAACAATTATGAAACCAAAATAGAAATAAAGCAACTAGAAGGCGTATTTCAGCAAGAGTAACTGCTGGGGGGGGGAAAGGGCTGGTGGGGGGGGGCGATAGAAATTGATGTAGAAAATCAATCGATGAATATCGATCGCTCGATATCTATAGACATAGATGATGACTTTAGAAAACGATAGAAATTTGAAATTTTGCAACACACTCCACCAAGCTTTGAATTCTGGAGTTTTGCATCGACATAGCCTCCTTTGAATCAAGTTAAATTTTTGATTGCCCAAAGGAGTTTTTATGTCCAACCCGTAAGGAACAATTATCAAAAACTTTGATTCCCTACACAAACTCAAAAGGCCTCTCATTAAATTGTACTAGGTTAAAAAGTACCAGGTTGAAGCTGCTGTCGTCATAGGGCGTTAGTGAAATTTCTTGCCATGGGGTAGCCTGCGTAGCTGGTGAGATTCGTGAGCGAGTGGTTTTCGGTGGGAGATCCGCCATTTTATTCTCACGCGAGCGAGACCCACGAGGAAGGCGCTTATATGCATGGCCTATTTCCGCCCAGCCACGAGGGAATTCGCAGGCGGTGAAGCCCTGAGTTTCTCCCATAGTTATTGGGAGTCAAACCTTTGGCCTGTGGGTTGTTGGTCCATAGACACTTCCTGCATATTGCTTAATATGAATGTTGACGAGTTGCATATTTTCAATGAAAGAAAGCTGATGTTATGTTTCACAGTGTGAATACTATGTCCCTCTTGTCTACTTTCTAAAAAACTGAATTTATAAATTAACAACTTAGAGATTTTCTTGTTAGCACTTTCTGTTTCAATCTTTGGTTAAAAACACTCACAGTGTATTTCAATGATTTCTGTACAGAAAATACTTGAATTCATAACCATTATACAAGGAAGTCTGATAATCTACATAAAAAGGGACAATATAACGTGTTTACACAACAAGAAATAAAATAATTAATATATGGAACACTATTCCACATGAAATAAAACAGTCTTTTTCAATAAATATATTTAAAAATCCCTTTTTTAAACAGCTTTAACTACCAGAGTAATTTTTGCTTATTGCAATTTAATTAGTACTAAACAGCTGTCATTCATTACTTGCGTATTCCTGATACCAAATTTCTTAGATATTTTGTCATTAAGGTCATTTAATTATGAGGGGACTACGTAATTATTTGTAAAATCCCCTAAAGGTTTCTTTAGTGTGCCTCCATGTAAATGGAAAATAAACATATTGCTTGATTGATTAATTGATTGATTGACACACAGAAAAGTCGAGCAACATTTGTTCCGCAGTATGATTATTTATTCTCAAGGTATTGTTCCAAAAGTTGCATAGGAATATCTATTCTGGGGCGACCCCTGCATCCTGTAAGCTTGACAACCGTCTTTGCAATGCGTTATCATCACCATCAAGAACAAGGTGTGTTACTAGATATCCAATCCCATTTCCGCTTTCATGAAAACGATCATACACGCGATTCAAGACGAATTCTATGCTGTGGCGACGGTAGCCCTCCAAAGAATCCATTTTTCAGTTGGCAGAAAGCAAATTATAGATAAATACTTCATGTATAAGTGCATGGAATCAAGTAACAGTTCATGTAATGTAAGTCGAATTATATCCTCTATGAGTGGACGAGTCGAAACGATGAAACGCCACATCGAAACGATGGAATGCCATAACGAAACGACGAAACGGCAAAACGACAAACGACGACAAACGGATGGGGTCAGTGATGAGTCGAACTCGTAAAACGACGAGTCGAAGAGGCCAGCCGACCAATCGAACTGACAAGATGACGAGACAAATTCACGGAGCGATGACTCGAATTCTTAAAACGGCGAGTCGAACTGGACGAGTCGAACTCGGAAAACAACGACTCGACTAGAAGTATCGGTGTGCGGAAACGATGAAACGCCATAACGAAACGACGAGTCGAACATTTTGTGCAGATCTACTCTCATACAAATGGCCAACTTCTCCTGTCCTAAAGAATATTTCTACTGCTATCGTATTTTCTTGTTCTTTGTGACGATGTAAATAATGTTTTTTTTTCTAATTCGTAGCTGTGCCAGAACCTGTCGCCTTCTACCCTTTGAATGCTCGCTATGAAGCCGCAGAAAAAGAGAACAGGCAGCCAAAGGGAATCATGAGAGATGTTGCGATTACAAACGGACCCTACAACGAACCAGGCGGAGCGTACATGTTTTATGGCACTAATAGCAGCTACATCGAGTTTCCGAATAGAGGGGGCCTGGACACTCGGTTCTCAATCACACTAATGTGCTGGGTTGAACCCGGAGGCCAAGATGGATCACTAATCAGATACGGAGGTTCTGAATTGGGAGTCCAGATGCGGATTGTTGACGGCAAACTTTATAATCAAATCGTCAAGCAAAGAAATTCTCAACTACTTCCTAATATAACAGCTGCTGAGGTTCTTCCAGCAGGAAAGTGGGTTCATGTTGCAGCAAGTTACGATCACAACACCGGAAATAACTCGCTGTATATCAATGGACATTGCAGTGTCTCGAAAAACATTGGTAAAGGTTATGAGATTAAAACCATCCCGAATGTTCGGATGGGGTATAGTACTTTAAAAGGGAAAATCGCAGAGATGAAGGTTTACGATGTCGCACTGAACGAGGCACAGATACAAACGTCGATAAGACAAGGTAGCTGCACTTTTCCCGAAATCTTTGTCTCCTCACCCTCTCCGGTGATTCCCTTAATTATTGAAGCTCCCGTTATTGGACAACCTCGCAAGAGGTAGCAGACACCCGTTTCATGATCCTGTTTCGCAAAACAACGTCTCGTTAGGTGACAAAAGAAATAATAAATAGAACCGGCGAATGTACTAAATGTCTGCATGTGCGTCCGCACGCTTAAAGTGACCTGCACTATCCGTTTTTAACGCCATTAAAAGGAATATCTTGGCCACCTGTTAAAACTCTGTCACGAAAGGACTTCTGGGGAAGCAAACTATATCAGTTTTCTTTCCACCTAACAGCTACATTTGAGCAAAAAATTAAAGAAATTTGTGTTGTCAAATGGAAATTTATTGCCAGGATCATTTCTTCAGTTTACACTCCATATACAGCTCGTGTTTTATAATTATTTAACACAAATCAGTTTTTTTTTCTCTGGGTTGTTTTGAGCACGCAACTTGGCTTGCTCCAAAAATACAGTGTATATGTAAATGTTACGTTTGCATTAATGTGTCAACTAAAGCCACGTTTTGACGAAATTTTCATATATTACAGCAAGATGTGGTTTGTTTAATTTAAATGTAAGCAGGTATGGTTAAGTCAATGAATATTAAGGTTTTTATTTCTAACCGATTAGTTCCACCAATGGTAACATTCCCAGCTGCTCTGTTAGTAATAGAAGGAGGCATGCTGTCATGTTCAGCCAGAGGAACTCCTCCCATATACACAGCACTGATAGGGAACTCTACAGTACTGGTAAATACAACAAACACTGCAACCATCCGTTTGTACAAGGATGGAAACTACACTTGCCAGGCCATCAACCAGTATGGAACTGATGTGAAAGAACTCCAAGTCAATTTCACAAGTAAGAGGTTTTCTCTGGTCTAATCTCTCTTTTCTTGTCAAAATAGTACAATGCTTGAGAGTCATTCGAGAAAACGCCCTGTAAGGCCCCTCTAGGTGCAAAGCACTAAACCCAGTGGCGGATCCAGACCTTGAGCTANATTATTTCTTAATGATCAAGTCTTGACAGAAACCGTGAGGAAAGATAGTGATTTAGGTTCTTAAGATCGGCAAACACTAGCGGACATGAAGCGGGGACATGTTGCAACGACATTTTTCCCAGTTTGAAAGTTTTGCTAGTGTGGAAAAGGGAGCAGAGTTGGCGCAGTGGTGAGAGCGCTCGCCTCCCACCATTGTGGCCCGGGTTCGATTCCAGCCCGGTGCCTTATGTGGGTTGAGTTTGTTGTTGGTTCTCCCCTTGCTCCAAGGGTTTTTCCCCAGGTTCTCCGGTTTTCCTCCCTCCACAAAAACCAATTCGACCAGGATAAAGAACCCGCATAGAAACCAGCTAATAAGGCTGATGGGGCTTTCTCTCGTAATATTGTAATTTATTTTTAACTTATTTATTTACGTTGCGGGGACAACGCAAAATGATGCATGAAATTCAGTTGTGTCGAATTCGTCGGTCATGAAGCAGGAACAAAATGACCCCAGTTCTAAATGCCGCATTGTGAGCACTGCTTTTGCACACTGTCCCAGCTAAAACAAAGAAATGAACCAATAACCTCTTCGTGTGCACCTGCTTGCTTACTGTCCCTTCAACATGGGTCCTATGCGTAGACACGAATGGGCTTGTCCCCGCTTCACTCTTAGAGCTTGCCGTACTCTGATTCTATTGAATGATAGAATACAAGTCACTCAACCAAACCACTTGCAATATTTGCATAAGAACACTAGTATAAATTTATTAATTATAGATGGTGCGATGCAACTTCAATGAGAATGAAGTGAGAAACTACAATGGCAGTCGGTTACACTTACCCACTCTTTAACTTAACTTAGCACATTATAAGAAGTCACGCAACTGTTATACACCCGACTGGGGCACATGATTATCAGCTAGGCATGCGCGATTCAAGCGGATTTCTAATCAGTATTTTCCAGGGTCGCTCGGTTCTCGAGTGCTGGTCAAGGGGAATGAAGAATTTGGGTTCCAGGTTGAAGTGACCCTTTGTTATAGAAAGTCACTTTTTAATTCATGTTTCATTTCTTTGTAGCCGAGATTATTTACAGATTACCAATGAGAAGAATCGGGTGTTTGGCAGATACTGTGGCCACATGGCTGGAAAGACAGTTTTTGCATCTGGACAATACGCCTTGATAGAATTCCACTCAGACAGCAAAAGTCAAAACAGAGGATTTCTGATGAGTTTTTCAGCTGTTGTGCCACCCTGTAAGAAATGAAAATTGAATGAAGTTTATGCCTTTATAAGTGTCATAACTTTAAATCGTGTTAAGACCATGCTAACTATGTTAAAACACAGAAGATAGATATTTCTTAAACAATTATGAAACCAAAATAGAAATAAAGCAACTAGAAGGCGTATTTCAGCAAGAGTAACTGCTGGGGGGGGGAAAGGGCTGGTGGGGGGGGGCGATAGAAATTGATGTAGAAAATCAATCGATGAATATCGATCGCTCGATATCTATAGACATAGATGATGACTTTAGAAAACGATAGAAATTTGAAATTTTGCAACACACTCCACCAAGCTTTGAATTCTGGAGTTTTGCATCGACATAGCCTCCTTTGAATCAAGTTAAATTTTTGATTGCCCAAAGGAGTTTTTATGTCCAACCCGTAAGGAACAATTATCAAAAACTTTGATTCCCTACACAAACTCAAAAGGCCTCTCATTAAATTGTACTAGGTTAAAAAGTACCAGGTTGAAGCTGCTGTCGTCATAGGGCGTTAGTGAAATTTCTTGCCATGGGGTAGCCTGCGTAGCTGGTGAGATTCGTGAGCGAGTGGTTTTCGGTGGGAGATCCGCCATTTTATTCTCACGCGAGCGAGACCCACGAGGAAGGCGCTTATATGCATGGCCTATTTCCGCCCAGCCACGAGGGAATTCGCAGGCGGTGAAGCCCTGAGTTTCTCCCATAGTTATTGGGAGTCAAACCTTTGGCCTGTGGGTTGTTGGTCCATAGACACTTCCTGCATATTGCTTAATATGAATGTTGACGAGTTGCATATTTTCAATGAAAGAAAGCTGATGTTATGTTTCACAGTGTGAATACTATGTCCCTCTTGTCTACTTTCTAAAAAACTGAATTTATAAATTAACAACTTAGAGATTTTCTTGTTAGCACTTTCTGTTTCAATCTTTGGTTAAAAACACTCACAGTGTATTTCAATGATTTCTGTACAGAAAATACTTGAATTCATAACCATTATACAAGGAAGTCTGATAATCTACATAAAAAGGGACAATATAACGTGTTTACACAACAAGAAATAAAATAATTAATATATGGAACACTATTCCACATGAAATAAAACAGTCTTTTTCAATAAATATATTTAAAAATCCCTTTTTTAAACAGCTTTAACTACCAGAGTAATTTTTGCTTATTGCAATTTAATTAGTACTAAACAGCTGTCATTCATTACTTGCGTATTCCTGATACCAAATTTCTTAGATATTTTGTCATTAAGGTCATTTAATTATGAGGGGACTACGTAATTATTTGTAAAATCCCCTAAAGGTTTCTTTAGTGTGCCTCCATGTAAATGGAAAATAAACATATTGCTTGATTGATTAATTGATTGATTGACACACAGAAAAGTCGAGCAACATTTGTTCCGCAGTATGATTATTTATTCTCAAGGTATTGTTCCAAAAGTTGCATAGGAATATCTATTCTGGGGCGACCCCTGCATCCTGTAAGCTTGACAACCGTCTTTGCAATGCGTTATCATCACCATCAAGAACAAGGTGTGTTACTAGATATCCAATCCCATTTCCGCTTTCATGAAAACGATCATACACGCGATTCAAGACGAATTCTATGCTGTGGCGACGGTAGCCCTCCAAAGAATCCATTTTTCAGTTGGCAGAAAGCAAATTATAGATAAATACTTCATGTATAAGTGCATGGAATCAAGTAACAGTTCATGTAATGTAAGTCGAATTATATCCTCTATGAGTGGACGAGTCGAAACGATGAAACGCCACATCGAAACGATGGAATGCCATAACGAAACGACGAAACGGCAAAACGACAAACGACGACAAACGGATGGGGTCAGTGATGAGTCGAACTCGTAAAACGACGAGTCGAAGAGGCCAGCCGACCAATCGAACTGACAAGATGACGAGACAAATTCACGGAGCGATGACTCGAATTCTTAAAACGGCGAGTCGAACTGGACGAGTCGAACTCGGAAAACAACGACTCGACTAGAAGTATCGGTGTGCGGAAACGATGAAACGCCATAACGAAACGACGAGTCGAACATTTTGTGCAGATCTACTCTCATACAAATGGCCAACTTCTCCTGTCCTAAAGAATATTTCTACTGCTATCGTATTTTCTTGTTCTTTGTGACGATGTAAATAATGTTTTTTTTTCTAATTCGTAGCTGTGCCAGAACCTGTCGCCTTCTACCCTTTGAATGCTCGCTATGAAGCCGCAGAAAAAGAGAACAGGCAGCCAAAGGGAATCATGAGAGATGTTGCGATTACAAACGGACCCTACAACGAACCAGGCGGAGCGTACATGTTTTATGGCACTAATAGCAGCTACATCGAGTTTCCGAATAGAGGGGGCCTGGACACTCGGTTCTCAATCACACTAATGTGCTGGGTTGAACCCGGAGGCCAAGATGGATCACTAATCACATACGGAGGTTCTGAATTGGGAGTCCAGATGCGGATTGTTGACGGCAAACTTTATAATCAAATCGTCAAGCAAAGAAATTCTCAACTACTTCCTAATATAACAGCTGCTGAGGTTCTTCCAGCAGGAAAGTGGGTTCATGTTGCAGCAAGTTACGATCACAACACCGGAAATAACTCGCTGTATATCAATGGACATTGCAGTGTCTCGAAAAACATTGGTAAAGGTTATGAGATTAAAACCATCCCGAATGTTCGGATGGGGTATAGTACTTTAAAAGGGAAAATCGCAGAGATGAAGGTTTACGATGTCGCACTGAACGAGGCACAGATACAAACGTCGATAAGACAAGGTAGCTGCACTTTTCCCGAAATCTTTGTCTCCTCACCCTCTCCGGTGATTCCCTTAATTATTGAAGCTCCCGTTATTGGACAACCTCGCAAGAGGTAGCAGACACCCGTTTCATGATCCTGTTTCGCAAAACAACGTCTCGTTAGGTGACAAAAGAAATAATAAATAGAACCGGCGAATGTACTAAATGTCTGCATGTGCGTCCGCACGCTTAAAGTGACCTGCACTATCCGTTTTTAACGCCATTAAAAGGAATATCTTGGCCACCTGTTAAAACTCTGTCACGAAAGGACTTCTGGGGAAGCAAACTATATCAGTTTTCTTTCCACCTAACAGCTACATTTGAGCAAAAAATTAAAGAAATTTGTGTTGTCAAATGGAAATTTATTGCCAGGATCATTTCTTCAGTTTACACTCCATATACAGCTCGTGTTTTATAATTATTTAACACAAATCAGTTTTTTTTTCTCTGGGTTGTTTTGAGCACGCAACTTGGCTTGCTCCAAAAATACAGTGTATATGTAAATGTTACGTTTGCATTAATGTGTCAACTAAAGCCACGTTTTGACGAAATTTTCATATATTACAGCAAGATGTGGTTTGTTTAATTTAAATGTAAGCAGGTATGGTTAAGTCAATGAATATTAAGGTTTTTATTTCTAACCGATTAGTTCCACCAATGGTAACATTCCCAGCTGCTCTGTTAGTAATAGAAGGAGGCATGCTGTCATGTTCAGCCAGAGGAACTCCTCCCATATACACAGCACTGATAGGGAACTCTACAGTACTGGTAAATACAACAAACACTGCAACCATCCGTTTGTACAAGGATGGAAACTACACTTGCCAGGCCATCAACCAGTATGGAACTGATGTGAAAGAACTCCAAGTCAATTTCACAAGTAAGAGGTTTTCTCTGGTCTAATCTCTCTTTTCTTGTCAAAATAGTACAATGCTTGAGAGTCATTCGAGAAAACGCCCTGTAAGGCCCCTCTAGGTGCAAAGCACTAAACCCAGTGGCGGATCCAGACCTTGAGCTATGGTGGGGGGGAAGGGGGCGGGTTGTCTTGCTTGCCCTGCCGGCTTTTCTTCCTTCTGTGATTTCTTCTTTTTTACCAAAAATATGGGGGGCTCGCCCGGGCCCCTCTCCTAGATCCGCCACTCAGTCCCTGTACTGCAAAAAAAAAAAAAAAATGAACGGGTTGGAAACTAAAACTTAAAGGAAAGTTCCATGCTGTCTATATTGTTATCAAAGAGTTGTTCTAACTATTCGTTGGCCATGGCATCTCTTGATTTAAGTGACATTTTACGCAGTGATCGCACTTCAAGACATATCTTGAATGCCTTCAGTCGTGGCCAAAACGTTTGAGACACTGTTATTTTTTCCATAAAAACCGGAATCCAATTTACTCCCCCTCCCCGTCTGGACAATGCTGGGTGTCAGGGGTCACTGAATTGCAGAAATGGCCAATTAATTACTGAGAAATGATTTAATAAAATAACTGAGAAAGTACACGCACTCCCATTGATTGGTCGATAGGTGTGTTTAGATGAGCGTATGTAAACATGGGTGTGACGTTTTAGATTCGCTTGTATTTTCAAGAAATATTTTAGAAAAGCAATAGTGTACTTTTTCGAGTTTACATAGCTTCATCTAAACGCTTGAGGAGTTTGAAGAATTCTCAAAAGGTTTGACCTGTGTCTCGGGTTTGAATAACTATCTTGAATTCTCCCAACCTCTCATGTGTTTAGTTGAGGCTACATAAACACGGAAAAAGGTGCTCATCGCTAAATCTGAAGTTCGATGTCCTAACTTTGAAGACGTTTATGAAAATAGCGATAACACGATAAAGTAAATATGAACTCTCATCTTTCAAGTCATGCAAGTTGGTTTTAAGCTGGGAGAGGTTTTAACTAGGCCTTTGTTATTGGATGTCCATTTTACTAAAATGAATTAACTGGTCTTAACAGCGTTTGGCCCAGAGATCGGCTTTCTGATCAGTGAAGGATATCCTGTCAGCTACCCAAGGTATGCGGACAATGTACATACATATCCTATTCCAGAAGGCTGGTCGATGAACATTTACTTTCAGGATTTTGATGTGGAAGAAAGTCCATTTTGCAGGTAAGTGATATGGTTGTGATTATCAAGGTGTATCAGTGTATCTAATGTAATGTAGCAACGTGTGATGGTGTTACGCTTCTGATAACATTTTATATATTCAGGATCCTTTGATCCTTCTGCTCCTGCCCGGGCTCCAGGTATATTCCTGGCCCTGCGAAAACCCCGACGCATTTGGCTCCCTTATGGGTTTGGTCTCGCATGTTGGAGAGAATACAAACATGATGCTGCATTCCTATGTATTTCATCTCCTGTTGATCAAATATGGATATTATAATGCATGTAGATTTTATCGGTATCTGAGATTATAGTTTCATATTGAAGGATCACACGTCTTTAATTTTTCAATGACACATGCATTGTAAGTTACTTGGCATATTTAAAGTGCCTATGAAATGAAATTTTTGCCCCCTTTTTATTCCAGAAAATTAAAGTCTATGTTACACTGATTCATAATTTTCTAATTTAACCTCTGGTCAGGCGCGTAAAACAGTTTTTTGATCCCTCCAAGCCAAAAATGCAAGTGTCGTATACTAGTCTAAACTAGTCACATCAGTGCATTTCCTACAAAGTTACCACTCGTTGAGATGGGGTTTTTTGGCGATTTTATTCAGTGGAAAATGTCCTAAGATGATGAATTATCCAGTAATACATCATCTTCGTCTTATGTTGAATCGCTGCAGTCAGTGAGAGAAGGGGAGCGCTCTTTTAATTCAATCGCTCAGCTCTATCAAGTCGAGCATTTGCATTGCCGACGTGGAAGAACGGGACGTGAAGTAGAAAGATGAGGACGCCGAAGGTGCTATACGCTTTGCGACCTTAGAATCTCGATTCGAAAGCAAGGAAACAGTCCGTAATTGTTTAACTATAACACCGTTATGCCTCCAAATTAAGAAAATGGCGAAAGTGCCTTTCGCTTTGGCAAATTTAACCTGATTTAACCAGTGCAGTCATGGTTCTTTACAAATCTCACACACATACTACAAATATCACGCTTCAATCAAAGGCATGCTCTAGTTGCTTCAAACAGTATTTCACCTTTTTTGCTTGGAGGGGAGAATATATGTAATGTAAAAAAAAAATGCAAATCTTATTTATAGTGGTCATGCACTCGCCCTCTTGTTGGGTTTCTCACAAACTCAGACCCAAAAAATTACACAATTTCGTGTTTGCCCCGGATTGCTTCAAGACGTCTTGCCCAGGTCGGGAGTGGGCACTACTGGAATTGGCCCATCCCTCATTTGTCATCGTAAAAATGATAACTTATTCGTGCTTAGTTTCGTTCGTACTGAATTTTGTGATTTCGGCTAGGCGATATTTCTCGAGGTTTTAATTTCGCTATTCCAAGAAGACAAAATGAATAAACAGAGAGTTAAATTACGCGAAAATATGTCAACGAAGGTCTTATTTTAATAATCTCTATAGAGGCAATAAATCATCAATGTGTCGAACTAAGGTATTTCAAACAAGAACTCTTAGTTAAGGTACAAACGCAATCAGTCATTCTCCTGTGTGACAGTTAGTAGATTTAAATGTCATCTACAATCATGGACGAAAGTCTTGGGACAAATTTTGTACTTTTGGCACTTTTGGGCACATGCCAGACGCGAATACAACTTCACCTACCTAACTTCGCCCCCCACACCTCATACAATGTTGAAAACTACTACTTGCAATTTCTTCTGATTTTCAACATTGTATTGGGTGGGGAGGGGAAGAGCAACCCGTTTTTGAAAAAAAGCAGCGCTCTTCTTAAACTTTAGTTGTAAAACACAACTCATTAAATTGCATAAGTGTCCCAAGGACTTCTGTCCTCGATTGTAGATGCTCAAAAGGATTTTCTAGAAGAAGTTTCGTTCCACTGACTACGTCTACCCCAGCCCTCTCTCATATCCTCTCATATCCTTCAGTGATAACTACAAGAAACCAGTTAATGGTCATTTTGATAACTGTACACTGAGATCCTGTGCACATGCACTACGCTGGAGAAATTTAAGAATGCAACAATCACCGATCACTTTGGATTTGTGTTTGAGGAAAACTCGAGCAGGCAAATAAAGTGATTTTTGTAACGTCATCGTTTTCGAAAAGCTCCATTTTCAAAATTTTTCCGTTTACACACTTCCAAACGCGAAGCTGGCGTTTTAGTTTAAATTCCTCCGCTTTGAAGAGCGTTTCGAAAAGTACTGTTTTCGTGACGGATTAGTGTGGACGGTAGGCCTAACCACAGAAATAAAGCTGCGTTTTCAAATTTCACCGGCGTGCTTTGGTTGGGGCCTGAAAGAACTGATCGAAAAAAGTGATTCAACTTTAATGGACGCCATTTTCTTGTTGAGTATTTAACTTTGAGAGTGTAAAATTCGCCAGGTGTTTGTTCACAAGTCTTAAGTTTCGCGATTTTTGTCAATTCTCGAAAACGCAAAAATAAAGGCGCGTGAAAGTAAGTAAGAATAGTTCTTTTCACTTATGATCTCTAAATTTTCCTCGCAGCATCTGGGTGGGGTTTAACTGGTAGCTGAGAATCGGATTGACCCTTTTTTTAAACTTATTGCTGAGATCTGGTATCTGCAAAATTTTCTGGAAACTGATAACTGAGATCCAACTCCCCCGTCCAGACACTCTACTTCCACTGATTCCATTGTCTATACAAAAGCATATGTGGGCTGTCCAAAGCCTGGTACAGTTTGGTACATATAAGCATACCTTCTTTAAGGCTTAGTGCTATAAATGACTTTCTGTAAACAGTCAGCTGCACGTTTTGTATTATATATAGTTACCTCTTTTCAGCTGGCTCGACAGATACTTTGCGTAGATATTGTTTGGAGAGCACTCAAGAAGCTAGTTGCTCTAGCTCTGCTGTCCCTCAAGCAGCTCTTGTGCTTCTTCCTGCGTGTATCATAATTCGATAGTGCACGCTAAAGCATGACAATTCTTATTGCCAGGTTGTATCAGGAGCTATGTTAGTATGTAGGTTTTAATTAGAGTTTTTTTGGAATGTCTCATGAGTATACTCAGTTCAGTACTCAGTTTTAGTTGTTTGGTGCAAAACATCATTTACCTTTCTTTGTAGCAAAGACTTTTTGAGAATTACCGACGGGATGGGGAAAAGACAACGTTACTGTGGTAACAAGACTGGTCAAAATCTTCGCGTGACTGGAGACCAAGTGGAAGTAATATTTCATTCAGACGGAGAGATTGAGCGAGGAGGATATCTACTAAATTTCACTCTGGTTTCGTTGCCCTCGGTTTCAAGCGGTAAGTGGGACCATAAGGAAGCTGATAAAACTTGAAGAGTACACCAAGTTTATCTCCCACTTTGATAAATTCTAACATTTCATTTAAAGTTGACAGTTACTTGTGATAATACATTGCTAGTGGCTAGTCTTACGCAGCTCGTTTCGTCCCGGCCATGGGACTCATCAGAGACTTTTCTGCTTGGCAAACTCGTTGGGCATCGCTAACAAAATGATGACAGCAATCTCGCCTTATATTGAATAAGGATTCCCGACCGCATTTCATTTTCACTAGAAAAACTGGAACATGAGTTTTCGACAAAACTAAGACATAAATAGCGTCTCAAGAGATGATGTCTCTTGAGCGTGGTAATTTTCAATATGCCGAAACAGAGTTTTGTCATCGATTGCTATAATGAACGTAAACATTGACATGAATATTTGGCGTTTTTAAGCCCTAAGTGTGCGGATTCTCTGTAAGTTTTACACACATATATAACGGGGGTTCTGGGACACATATTATCTTATAGAATCTCGGCTCTTAGAGTAGTGAAAATAGAATTTTTATTTTTACTGCTCTAAGAGCCGAGATTCTATAAAATAAAAGGTGTCGCGAAACCCCCCGTTATATGTGTGGGGGGTTGGAATCTCGGAAAACTGAAGCTTTTAGGAATGTAACCGGAACTTGCGGGGGCTGGTGTCCCAGAATTATTTTCTATTTGAAGAAATATGTTGCCTTGGTATAAGCAGCATAATGGCTACATCAAGATTTTCATCTGACGTGTTGGAATTGCTCTATGGATTAATTCCGGAACAAGAAAAAAAAGTCAAAAGAGGCATCTAGAGCCTGTGAGAGTTGAGAGAGGCATGGATTTTGAATTGCTTAGAAATAATGTTAGTGAATGGCTTCGTGTATGGAAAATGACTGTTCCAGAAGGTTATCCATACAAAGCTGATCTTTTGAAATTTGCGCAAAAAGCAAAAACAAGATTTACTGATGTGATTAAAAATGAAATCACCAGCTTGGCGATGGTCAAAACTCAATTTGGGCTTCTTGTTAAGTTCATGAGAAACAATGAATCGCAATACATGAAACATTATTTCAAACAGAACAATCCTGTGATTATTAACAGAAACAATAAAGCACTGGTGAATGACGCCTTCGACCGCTTCATTAATCAAGTGAAAGGTGAAATGGAGGCATGGTCGCAAAGAGGTTCAGGCTGGTTGAAAGAAAGGATTTGGCCACATTTGTTAATGCTGCTCGATACGAACCATTTCGTGGAGGAAGCTATTTTCCTCTCCCAAAAAAGTTGCAAAATAAGAAAGCAATAAGTAACATCCAAAACAGAGACAATCAGTGTCTGAGATGGGCGCTTCATGCTGCTCTTTTCCCAGCAGCAGAAGGAAAAAAAGTAGAAAGAACTAGCAGTTACCCCACAGAAGATGGTCTTAATTTCACAGGTATCGACTTCCCAACACCGGTTTCACAAATTGATAAACTCGAAAAACAAAACCCAAATCTTGCAATCAATGTGTTTGGCTGGGAAAATGAACATGTTATTGTTCACAGAATCCGCGGAAAGGACGTTGCTATTCAACGGATAAACTTGATGCTTATCCAGCAAGGTTAAAATACTCACTACAGTAATGTAAGAAGGCTTAGCGCGCTCTTATATGATCAAAACAGGCATAATGAGTGTAAACATTTCTGTGAACGTCGTTTGCATGGGTACAAAACAAAGGATCCGACTTGAAAAGCACCAACCTGAATGCAAAGGGTTGTTGAAAAGACCAACAAGAGAAGAAATGCCAAAAGAGGGCGAGAACAAGGTGTCTTTCACAAACTACCATAAGCAGATGAAAGCGCCTTTCATAATATACGCAGACTTTGAGTCTTTGTTAAGAAAGATCCATGGCTGCGATCTGCCAAAAACCCAAGAAGAAAGTTTTACCGTAAAAACAGCGATGCATGATTAATCAACTTCCCCTTGCTTCTCTTAAAATAAGGACAACAACAACTTTGTGTGGCTGAAAATGGGGAAAAGGGTGACAGAGTGCTCAGTTAATATTTTAGCCCTGTGAATCCCTGGAGTGTCAAGAAAACAAAACCTACAGCCCAAGGAGATGTAGACAGTGGATGGAGAGAAGGGAGTAGGCCT